ATGCATGACAAAGGTCTTCTTCCGGCGCCTGCACACGCAATGATATGCCTCGGTCATCCTGACCTTGGAGCCGTCGTTTCAGCACGACAAGCCAATGGCGGAAACCACGCATGAGTTGCTCAGCTATGTGGAGAAATACTACTCAAGCCTCCTCACAGAAGAATGGTTTTGGACGCCGGAAGGAATAGAGCAGACCCTCACGAAGCGGTTTAGACTAAAATCACTGCCACTCTACCAAAGGGTTGCCCTGTGAAAAGGGATATGTTCAATTTGCCGTTCACCATTTTCTTTTATTGTTTTTTTTTTTTTTTTTTTACTTTTTTTTCCTCATCCCCTTTACCTCATTTTATTCAAAACGCGATACATTGGACTCGGATGAAGTTCAGGACTAGAAGGGGGAAATTTATCCAAACCATTGTCAATGACTGTCTTTTTTTTCCCTCCAAGCATGTATTTCTTTCTCCACCTACCTGTGCACACCATAATCATCACAAGTCTAACGGAAAAAAAGGAAAAGAAACAATTCCCCTGACACATTTAGGGTTTCACATTGCTCCCAGTACCACGGTTACCTATACACCATGGTTATCCCCTCCCTTCAAGTTTTTCTTTTCAGACGGCCAGACAAAAATGAAGGGTCATACAAAGTGTGGGAAGAAATGGGGTGATGAAAAAGAATGGACCCGAGTCCTCCACTGATCTTGAATAAGTGAGATTCAATGACAATTTCAACAACCCCCCTGGCTGTGATCCCCCCTCAAAAATATCGCCTTTTTCCTCCGAGTATGGTCATTAAGCTCATCGGCTATGGCCGCCGAGTCCACCAACAGACCAACAGCCACCGGCCACCACCAACTTTATTGCAACAGCAAGTTGTCATCACCAAGCCGCACGGCAAACCACACCTCCTTACGTCTATGGCTAACGATGCCGCAAGTACCCAACCACCAAGTTTATGGCTATGGTTGCCGACGTCTTCGCCAACCTTCGTGTTACCACCCCTTGCCATACTTCAGTTTGGTCACCGATGGTTGACCAACAACTCCCCTTTTTCCCTCTTCTCTCAAATACAACACACTTGTGTTTTTTTTTTTTCAAATAGTACTCACTTGTGTACTCCTCCCTTTCCCTCACTCTCTCCCACTTGGTTGTTGATCACTTACACATCAGCCATAACTACCTTTTTCACCTCCTCCACAGACCTTCAAGTTGTCAATCATTCAAAATTATAGCTCACCTTCGCTCTTCACTCCAAAATGCAGGCCACCATGGAGTTGGGCAGCATCTCCCCTCTTCAGTCCAACATGCAACCCACCATGGAGTTAGGCAACATCTCCCCTCTTCACTCCATTTGCAGACCACCACCTTCTACTCACTCTCTAGCTGTTTTCCCCCCTCACTCTCCAGCAGCCTTTCCCCTCAGCAGATGCAACATTTGCCTCATAGCAAATGAGCAGCATCATTGCCTCACAACTTTTAGGCAGTTGAGGGCAATGACTGCTTTTATAGTTGTGAGAGGTGGTGGTAGCAGCCTGAATCGTCAGCCAAAAATTCGGACTCAGGCGGAGCCCTTAATCTCCAAGTGAGATCAAGGGCGCCTACCAGCCCTACACAGTAAAAAACGCCAGATCCATTCATTAGGAAAAGGACTCGGCTCCTTTTCTGATGCAAGTGCACCGAGGGGCGGCTGCACTCAACCCTTCTCTTGTTATTCTGCTATTTGCTGAGGCCCAACCTCAACAATGCACTTTCACCTAAACCTGGCCACATTCAGAGTCAACTCCCTAACTGGTCTGCAGCAAACCACCTGAGAACCTGGCCCCAACAGTGGTCAGGTACACACACATACACAAAAAACATAAAAAAAAATATTCTTTTATTTATTTTCTAGGCCCTGCCTGAGGCAGGGCAACTCGTGGCCTTCAAGTCACGAACCTTGGATTCAAATCCCAAGGCCTATGATGACTTCTCCCTACTTGCTGCTCATAAGCAGCCTTATTTTCCTCAAACTGAGGGAAAACGAAGGGAAAAAAAAAGAAAAAAAAAAAAAGAAAAGAAAAAGTAATAAAGAAAAAGTAATAAAGAAAAAATAAAAAAGAAAAAACTTACCTTCCTCTCGTTGCAGTGGCCCTACCAACGAGGCAGGGCATATCCGTGGTGTTGCAAAGCACCACAACTAGTTAGAATGCAAACCCAAAATCAATTCCCAATGAAGGCAGGAGCCTTTCCCTGCTTTGCCGAGCCACGCTACCCCGTGGCTTAAAAAACGGGAGAGAAAAGGGGGGGAAAAAAAAAGGAAAAACGAATACTTATCTTGCAAGCCCTGCCAACGAGGTAGGGTTGTTTGTGGTGCCGTTGGGCAACCCCAAACTGCTGAAGTACAGGATCAAGTTCGAATCCAGATGCCATCAGATCTTCTCCCCCCCCTTTCGTTCGCAACGAAGTCTCGTGAGCCTCCATAAAGAAGAAGAAGAAAAAAAAAACTAATTGAATGTGCAAAATGAGAATAAATCCTCGGCTAGGTCGTGGGAAGATGCATCTTCTCGTGCCTTCACGAGGGCAGCTGCTCCAAAAAAAAAAAAAAAAAAAACCCTTAAAAAACAGCCCCAATATTAAAAAAACAGCGTTTGTCGGGTTTGTTGGGAGTTGAAGCTCCGAACTCACAAACTCGCGCCATGTGGCGCATTTTTTCTTAGGTTTTTTTTTTTTTTTTTTTTTTTTTCCTTTTCTGATTTCAATCATTGATTTATGCCAACGACTGCCTTGTTTGCCTCTCGTGGTACGACCACGCCCTACTAAAAAGTAGACATGAGTTCTATTCTGAATGAAATCGAACTTCCAAAAAAAAAAAACAAAAAAAAACATGTATCTCTTTTTTTCTTTTTTTTCTTTTCAATTTTGAGTGTCATCCTGGCGCAGGGCTATGCAGATCCGCGCTACGAATATCAGCCGTGCAATCTCATCGATCGCGCGACAAAAAGTTGGTGTCGCTGGATCGCCTCAGCCCATGGGCTGCTGCTCCAAAAGGAGCTAGTAACCCAGAGGCTGGTCATATTCAATCCCCATATTAAGGGGGTAAGATTGAAGTACCGGTACCTATTGGGCTAACTCTTACTACGACATTAGGAGGAGCAACTCTCCTATAAGAAGAGTTGCAGCCCAACAACCCTTCAATTCATGGCCAACAGTCTCAGTCTACTTGAGTCTGCTGGCAGCCAAACCCCTTCCTTATCGACAAAGCACCCAACCCCACGGTCAGGGTGCTAACCCCAGCCAAACTATCATTGACTTATTCTCGGCCGCAACAAACAATGGGATTAGGGTCGAACTCTTTTGCTCAAGCAACCAACAACATTACTTAGGAATTAACCCAGGTGACCCAATCCTTTCAGACCGCGATTGTATATCCGACATGATTACTCTTGTTTTGCCATTTAGGCTCTGAATCACGCAGCTTAGCAGCCGCGCGTTATTGTTTTAGCTAGTCTAGGGTATAGATTTAGTGTTCCAACAGCCCCGTGTTTTAGCGACCTCGTCAAGGACGAAATACAACCGATCTCACCCTCATCCTCTTTTATTTTTTTGGATGGCACAAGCGGCTGAACTTAGCTTTGAAAGTTTAGCCTCTTGGTCATAGGTTGGTCCGAATAACTTTCGACAGATACACCAATTTTCATCAAGTCATTGAACTCGGAAAATTTATGAAAGTCGGACAGCATCCGACATTAAAAAACACCGGGCAGATACCCTTGTTAGGGTTTCTGTATCTGCCTCGACAACGTTTCCAGCC